TATGAGCTGGTGGAAACTTTCAAAAAGGGAAAGAACACTCCAAGAACAAATGGGTGTACAAACTGAAGAAAGATGATGGCAACCCTCAGTGGGTATGAGATACAAAGCTCGATTGGTCGTCAAAGGCTTTACTCAAAAGAAAGGTATTGACTTTGATGAGATTTTTTCACCAGTTGTGAAAATGAGTTCTATTCGCGTTGTACTAGGTCTTGTAGCCAATTTGAATCTTGAGTTAGAACAACTTGATGTAAAGACCGCATTCTTGCATGAGGATCTAGAGGAAGAAATCTATATGGAACAACCAGAAGGTTTGAAGGTCGAGGGAAAAGAGGACATGGTTTGTCGCTTGAAGAAGAGCTTGTATAGGTTGAAACAAGCACCGCGATAGTGGTATAAAAAGTTTGATTCTTTCATGGTGAATCAAGGATGCAAAAGGACAGATGCAGATCCTTGTGTATATGATCCTTGTTGTATATGTTCAGAAATTCCCTGATGGTAAATTTATCATCCTTCTCTTATATGTTGATGATATGCTAATGCGTTTGGAGACCGGCCATGATTGCAACACATGTTAGGCAAGTTAAAGAGTTGATATTTGTCAAAAAGCATCTTGACTTGAAGGATTTTGGGATCGGCAAGGCAATTCTCGCAAATGGAATTATTCGAGAGCAGAAAGTCCTACAGGTTATTGGTTATCTGCACAAAGAAAAATATATTGAGCGAGTTCTAAGAGAGGGTTCCTAATATGAAGAAATGCTAAACCGCAGTTAGGCACTACCGCTTGCCCGCTCACTTCAAGTTGAGTAAGAACATCCATATCCCCATCAACAAGAAAAGAAAAAGGAGATATGACAAAATGTTCCATATTTCTTTCAGCTGTCAGAAGTTTAATGTAGCGCAATGGTGTGTACTAAGACCAGATATCTGCTGCATGGTCGTTGGCGTTGGTGAGGTAGAATTTCTGTCTGTCAAATCCCCAAAAGACACATTGGGAAGCAGTGAAGTGGATCTTCAGATACCTGAGAGGAACTTCAAAGTTATGTTTAACTTTGGAGGTGAAAAGGCTGAACTTGTTGGTTACACAGATGCATATATGGCCGGTGATCTTGATGAAAGAAAATCTACATCAGGATACTTATTTACATTCTCAGAGGGAGCTATTTCATGGCAGTCGAGATTATAAAAATGTGTTTCATTATCAACGACTGAAGCAGAGTACGTTGCAGCAACGAAAGCAGGAAAGGAAATGCTTTGGTTAAAGCGATTCTTTTAAGTTAAAACGATTTTTTCAAAGATTGGGTGTGGGCAACAAGAAGAATATATAGTTTTAATTGTTGATAGTGCAAAGTGGCGTTAGACTTGAGCAAAAAATACTATGTATCATGGCATGGTACGAAAGCAACATTGTATGTAAGTATATCATTAGCTTAGACGTTGCCATTGATAGAGATAGTAGGTTTGCGTTGCGAAAAGATGCCACTATCAGCAGAAATCTGTAGATATATGCGAAAGATCCACACAGACAGAAATGCTGTAGATATATTGACAAAGGTCGTTCCGAAGGAGAAGTTCGAGCTATGTGTCAAAGCAGCAGAGATGGAGAGTCCCACCATGTAGTCGGGAGGAGGAGAATTTTTGTGGGGTCCCTCCGACATGTGGGACCCACACACATTTGAAAAGAAAAAAAATATAAAACACGTTTTTTGTTTTGGTGGCAGTCAAAGAGAGACTGCCGAACAAATAAGAAAGAAAAAAAAAACACGTTCATTTTGTTATTCAAAGGACGGTGCCAAAGAAAGAAAGAAAAATAGGAAAAGTGGACGCGTGATTAACGCGTCCATTGCGTCCCCTTCTCCTATAAAAAGGAGAAGGTCTTCCTTCATCAAGGTGTACAAAAACAAAAGCATAGAAATACATAGAGTGTATAGAAAATTTTACCTAAAATTGGGAAAAGAGAGAAAATAGTGAGGATTATAATTTTGGGGTGTTTTTGGAAAACACTTAGAGTGCCACTATTTTTACTCAGCAGTACCACTATTTTGTATCTCTTTTTACCAAGTTTTTAGTAGAAAGAAAGATTATTCGGGAGTTTTTGTACCGGGACTGTAGCCCATAAAACAGTTGAAGGGTGTGAACCACTAAATCCGGTATTCTTAGTTTTTTCAGTCTGGCATTTACGGGTAATTATTCTAATTTTTTAACCGTGATTATGTTATTTCTGGTTGGATTCGATCGTCAATATCCAATACGAAATTATTGGAGATGTGGATTCGATCGTCAATATCCAATACGAAATTATTGGAGGTATATGTGGTAATAGTAATTTTATTTTACTTTTACCACCGGTATTTTTTCGCGGGCCCACTCGGATCAGTTATAATCCTAACACTTCCCTCTGTGCTGCAATTTGCAAGATAGAAAACACAATTTCTCTTCAATTCTTTCTCTCTTTATTTCCTCTTCCTTTCTTATATTTTACACGGATTGAGCCTAGAAAACCACTCCCGAAAGTGAATCCCTTGTTTCATCCAAAAGAACAAGACTCTTGGTGCTATTTCAAGATGAAAAATGTCTTGTCTATGTTGGAAAAGAACTATAAGACTCTACGGGACCCTTTGGTTCAAGCCGAAGAAGCAATGTCACTCGATCATTATCAAACTAACTGCAATCTTTTTCTGTACGTGAGGATCCCACCAGAGTGCCTTTGACTTCTAATAGGCCATGAACTAGATCAGAACCATTCTCAACAAGTCCATAATAAGTGATCCCATTTTTTTCATCAGGCAATACAGATGGTTCTTTGGAAGGTACTGATGGATATTTCTGGACTGGGGGATCATAACAAAGATCATAGAATGGACTTGGATGATGGAACAGATGATGAAATGGAGGTGGAGGATGGTGATGCTGACGTTGAGGCGTCTGAGTTCAAAGAAAAAGTTATAGCTATGTTGAAAGAGAGAAACTTTTATGAGAAGAGGTCCTCTAAACTCACTCAAGAGGAGTTCTTATACCTGCTTTCTCGGTTCAATATAGCTGGCATACATTTTTCATGATCACTGAGGTCGAGTCTTAGCTATTACATTTGAGGTCGAGTCTTATACCTGCTTTCTCGGTTTACTTGATGAGTCTTGAATTGTTCCAAACTATCTACTTGGTTTACTTGAAGGGTCTTTGAAATTGGAATAAACGGTAAAAATAAAAGGCAATTGGAATTGCTAATATTTGGTAAAATCCTCTTGTGAGATTTTACTTTGTTGCAGGTGTCTTTATTGACATGTTATAGGCAAGAAATTGGTAGTTTTAAGTGGATGAATTTACTGACCCTCCAGGATGTATTAAAAAGGATGTGATGTGATGTGATTACAATTAGGCCATCGCCATTTGCGCTGCAATTGTAGTTTTATGCAGATGCTTTACACAGACTCTCTCTCTCTCTCTCTATATACCATAGCAGTCTAGTTTTCTGCAACTCTAGAACAATGCATAAAGAAAAAGGCACCAATATAGCGTCTCTTATATTAATCCTTTTAAAAATCAGTAAGTTGTATCCATTCAATTCATGGACTTGAATTGAGGGGAAAAACTTGCATAAAGTAGCATATGCTATACTACAAAACTTCTATAAGAGATTACTATGTATAGATGTTTTTTAACTAAAGACTACTCCTATAGCTAGGACAAGCAAACATAGCCCCGCTTTCCTGGGGCCTTGTATTGCCATCTTTTTTTTAATCATATCAATGAGTATACATCTTTTTTTATCATATCAATGAGTGTTAAATGCACAGGAGCAAATACATGCAGCTGTATCGTTAAAGATAATGATATATAGTTGAATTACAAAACCATAGCAAGTAATATGGCAAGGCTTTAAATGCCAACAACGACTATTGCAGCTAGAAACTTTGAATTAGCATTAGCATTTTTTATCAGCTTTTTCAAATTTCTTCTCTCTCTCCTCTACCTCTCTTATTATGATTTGTTTTCAAAAGCATTGATTTTGCTTCATCAATTCAGTCTTGCATTTCCAACCACCTTAGTGACCTGAGGATTACGAAAATGCAATTACAATGAAGACTGATGGCAAAATTCCAACAGCAAGCATTAGCCTCCAGCTAATTCAGATTTGACATGGTGCAATCAGCTTAAATGTTGCTTTGTCAGGAACTCTCAACCGGAATTTGAGGTTGAATCTTACATTATTCAGATTGAGCATCAGATTGTGTTCTCCCATAAAACACAATGTAATAATGCTTTTTATCAAGAATTTTACCATAGGAACACAAAATAAGTTGATGGTAAATGGCAAAGAAAATGCAAAAAATCATTATGACATTTCAAGTTGGTCACTAAAATAAATCTTTAAATCTTTTTAACATATCTATATTTTCCCTCAACTGTAAACAATATGCAACTTCAATTTTTTTTAACATAGCGAGGCATCAAGGGCAACGAACTTCTGTGGAATGCCCTCCACTGCATTAGAATTTACATAAACAGACAACAATATAAACAAACTATGTTTTAAGAATAAGAAATTGCAGAATATATTTCCATTTTAAGTTAGACTGCATCTCATGAGACAGCTGAAACGTAACAGACGTATTGTTCATTGGTTTGAAATTCTATCTGTTCAATCAGAACACAATTTTTTTTTTTTTTTTTTTTTTTTTTTTTTGAACACAATTTTTTTTTTTTTGTTTTTTGTTTTTTTGTTGAAAAGAGAGGGTGGGTTTAGTATTTTTTTTTTTTTTTTTTTTTTTTTTTTTGAAAAGAGAGGTTGGGTTTAGTAGATAATTGAGCTGCATTTTAATTCAGAACTTTAGAAAGACTATATTTAAATTCCTTAATTAGTATTTTGTCCTCATCACCAAATATTGTTATATGATTTAACTTCCTCCTCCTGAACTCCTAGCATTCAACGCATAAAAAATTCATATTGCTTACTCTCTAGTGACATTTCTTTTGTTCCTTTGTTAACTTGCATAATATCTCTCTGAACAGAATCTAATATCATTCCAGAATTGTTCATGAAGTTTTCAGTTTAGGAAACTGTCCTTTTCGAAATTACAACCGTTAACTCTTCATAACAGACATTTTATTAATGTAATTAGTAGTTCAATTACCCATTGAACTATATTACGGCAATTAACACCAAAGCTTTCATTTGGTATGGCTTCTTGACCAGACATGAGCTCAAGGAGGATGACACCAAACTATAAACATCACTCTTGTCCGTCAACTGCTGAGAGATATAATACCTGTGCACCAAAAGAAGCAAACTTAATAATTCAATTTGATAGAAAAGTTGTCAACATTGTTCCAGTACCAAACTAATACATAAAGAAAAATGGGTGAGTAATTAATAATGTCAACTTGACAAATTTTATTTAAAGTCCTTATATTTACCAAAAGAAAAAAAAATAAACATAATAAAAGCTGTGGCTAATACCAAGAAGCAGAATTCTAGACACCTATGACATGTCTCAAACTTACATCTAACCCACATGATTGTCTCTGTCATAACCACAATTCGAGAGGCTTAACAGAACATTCAAATAGAAGGCAATTAAAGCTTCTAATTAATCTGATAAGAGCAGCAGTAACATCGTAACAACAATCAACTCAACCAAAGATGGTTAACTTCAGGAGGAAGAGTAGAAAAAAAAAAAAAAAAAAAAAAAAAAAAAAAAAAAAAAAAAAAAAAAACTTACTCAGGATCCAAATACCCAAGGTGCCCTGCACTATACTTGAGACGAGACATGTTAAACTCCATCTACTGCAAGTTTTGACACAGATGAGGATTTTTTTAGAAGGGAGAAGAAGTGTCCATACCAAGATTTTAGGGAGACTATTTACAATTATAAACGAAAATCAGTTTGGATAAGGTTTTGGGTCTTTTGACAAAATTGCTTGTCTTAAATTGCCATTACACTGTTCCTTGAACAGTGATTCCGGTTTCTTCTGTCAATTTATATCCCTTAAAAACTAAGGCACCAAAAAAGCCTCAACAAAGAAAACCATCTCAGATTATACAGGTACCAAACATACAAATCCACAAAATACCAGTAAAGCAAGGCCAAGACCATCAGACCCAACAGGGTGATTTGGCCAGCAGTACGAGGCAAAGGTAAACCCTCAAACTGATAAAAGTAAACAGCCCATGAAGAGTACCCAATAACCGCGAACAATACCGGACACACAATTCCTGACCTTCTACTACTCCTTTTAGAATCGAACTATTTCCATCTGCGACATTAGAAGTTTCTAGAGAAAAAAAGAGAGTGAAGTCGGTGAGATCATGGAAAAAGGTAAGAAGGTTAAAGTGGGAATTACATAACAACCTGGTTTAAGTGGAATTACACTGTTATAGGAAAAGTGTTTTTGGGCTTTGTTTTAGTACATATATAATATGCAAGAAGCAGAAATAAATAAATGAATGAATGAACACAAAACAGACCTAATAGTAATATGCACCAAAGGATGTCTTTATTTGTTATCTATGCATCTAATGGCTTCAAGCAATGATTCTCTCTCTAGTGGTTTGTGCAGACAAAAGTCCATTCCAGCATCCTTTGCCTTCTTGCCTTCATCACCTGAAGTATGTGCTGTTAATGCTATAATGGGAATGTGAATGTCATAAGATCTCTCCTCCTTTCTTATTTGTCTCGTTGCTTCATACCCATTCATTATTGGCATCTGTTAGAATAAGACAAAGAGGTTAGGAAACGATGTGTAGTTTTTATATTTAGTTTATTCAATAATGCATTTTCACTTGGAAAACCATTCATCATAGATGAGATGGCAATAATATATATAATCTCTACCTCACAGTCCACTAATATATAATCATATGGAGGCATGGAGTAAGTTGCATTTCTCCTTTGGCCTTGTAAACCGATAATGACTAGCTCCACAGCTTCCTCTCCATTTTGACAGAGCTCAACAGATGCACCAAGCCGTGAAAGATTAGTCATGGCTATCTTGCGTAAGAAGGGATTATCTTCAGCAACCAAGAATCTTAATCCACATAAGGGCTTCTTGCTGCTGCTTTGGTTACTGTATTTTTCTTCTATCTCTGAGGATCCGACAACATACTTCGATTTCTTGTATTTCTCCCTCCTCGAGCTACCTTCGGCAACCATGTTCCCTTTGCAGAGTGATTTTCCAGTAGACAGGGGAATCACTGCTCCTTTTTGGCTATGTGAATGCATTGCAGACGATGATGCAGGATATTCAGCAGATTTTTCACATCTAATGCTGCATTCTTTCTCAGGTTTAGCTAATGAAACCCCATTTTGCAAATTACCCCCAAATTCAGGTAGGAGTCTAATTACCTGAAACAAGCGAGAGCCATGAAATGGTTTTAGCAAAATGTCATCATCTTCAAGGCCTCCAGGGTTTATGTTCCGCATTGTTGGTTTATCTAACCAAACAACTTTGCAAGAAGCTCGGTGAAGTCCTCTTTTAAATTCAGTTACAGCTGCAAAGAGTTGTTGAAATGGTCCTGCACTAGCATCTATCACAACCAATATAAAATTTGAAGAACCTCTAACGATAATGCTCCTACTTCTATTAGAAGGCAGTCCTTGTTCTATCCCATCCAGAGCACTTAAAGGAATATCTTTCTGTCTACTGCTAGAAATTTCACTCCTCGAACCAGAATCTGATTTTCCTGAAGAGCTGTAAGGCGAAACATTCTGCTTCTGTTTTATCTTTGTCAGAGTAGAATGAAGGCTTTCCCATTTATTTACAGCTGATACTTTTATCCCTAACCTCTCCATATATTTCTGCACAATCTTTTGCCTCTCTGCATTTTGAATCAACAGAACAACATGAGATTCATCACTCTTGGGGCTAGAACCGAGAATGGATAATCGGGGACTAGAATTGCAGATAGGTAAGCTAGGAGTAAGAGCGTTAACAGTTAACCCTAAATCTTGATTTGTGCTATCAGATAGGGAAATATTTCTTATTTCAATGCCATCCCTTGTGTTACTAGCCAAAGAAGTACTCCCATCTGTTGTAATAAGAAAAATATTGAACCTGAAGCAAGTTCCCCTTCTGTTATTCTCTTTATCAATAATTGCTATCTCTCCACCCATTAAACGAACCTGAGACAGAATTAGAAACATTAGATCAATGTGCATTATTATGTGATTAAAATATAATAAAAAAGACGATACCAAGTGCATACCAAAGACTGAACAATGCCAAGCCCTAAGCCAGTGCCTTCTTGCCCAAAAGCTGTTTCTTTAACCTGAACAAAATTTTCAAAGACTGATTTTTGCTTCTCTTTAGGAATTCCTTTACCTGTATCCTCGACCTCAAACACAAACTCTAAACAGATTGGTTTTTTCTTCACTGAATTTATTTCTTCGACATCATTACTTTCTTTGTTCTCAGTAAACCAGCAACCAAAAAATTTCCACAAACCATTCCTATTAGAAGCAATTATCTTATTCTCTAAACTGGGTTTTTGTGCCCAAACTCGAACTGTTACGTGCCCTTCAGAAGTATACTTAACAGCATTGCTAAGTAAATTACAGAGAACCTGTTTCAGCTTTCCCCTATCGCCTTTTACGCGAGAAAATCTAATAAGAGATCCATCGCATGGATCCAACACAACTTCTACTCCTTTTCTCATTCCAACAGGATGAAACAAATCAACTGCATCTTCAATAAGGTTGGCTAAATCGAATTCTTCTGATTCGACTTGCATCTTTCCAGCTTCAATTTTGCTTGTATCGAGAATAGAGTTCAATAAACCTGAGCCAGAAAAATCATTTAGTATTATGAGCTGTTACCCATTAGTTCTGATATAGAACTTTTGTTCTTTGACAATTTTGTTTGTTGATTAGGCTCTGCTATAATTAATTGACAGAGAACTTACCTACTAGGTCTTTTGCACAGCCATCCATTTGTTGTAAATTCATCTTTAAATCGGAACCTGGAGACACTTCTTCGTAGCTGATCTGTATCAACCCAGTAATGCCTGCAAGGGCAGCACGAATATCGTGGCTCGCACCAGCAAAGGCAAGACTTTTATTCATACTCTTTCTCTCTGCTTGTTGAGTTGCTTCCATTTGTTTTATTAATGCCAAACACAGGCTTATCTCTCTAGTCGCAGCCCTAACCATTAACAACACAAAACTAAGAATAAAAATGAAGACTGAAGCAATCATTACCATCAATAGAATGAGAGCAATTTTTATACTCCTGTGAATGGTAGTCATTAATCCATCGTATGGGAAAGCCAATGCATATACCTGAAATTCAAATATAATTAAGGAAAACTTATTTAAAAATTAGACTAATTAGTGAATTGATTTGCTAATTTATTTACTAATCAGATCCATTCAATCAGTTTGGCCTAATAAAATCTAATTCAAATAACATCAAAAATTTTAGAATTATACCGATTGGACTCCCATAATTTCGAGTGGAGAACAGTAAATCCTATACTTTGCTTCTCCAATTCTCAAAATAGAAGATCTTGGCATGCTACTATTAGGCATGCATGAAACAACTCCAACATTATCTATTTTGTCAACACTTGGTTTGTTCCAGTTGAAAGAAACTGATTTTCCAATTACCACCATTTGAGTGTCTGGTAGACCTTCTTTAAGCACATCTCCATGTTGTGTAGCCAAGTACAGGCTCCCATCCAAAAGATCAATACCATCAAAGAAATGGATCAATTCTTTAACTGAAAACCCTAAAGAGAGAACCCCTTTTCCATGTATACTAACAGAATTTAGGAATAAAAGGTCTTCACTGCTGCTCCAGCCATTTCCTATGGAAGCATACCCATTAGCACTATTTAAGGCTTCTTGAACCCAACTTGCATTAGCCATGATATAAAAATGACATTCGATGGCATCTCCATATAGTTTTCCTGTGTCTTTGTCTGCAAGTTGCTTATACCAAATGTATTTCATGGACTCATTTGACTTGGAAGAATTTGTAGAATTAGAATACATAGCAAAAATCTGATTCTTATCGCGATAATAAGCGAAAAATGAACCTTCTAATCCAATATATGATACTTGCAGTACGTGTGGAATTGTTGAAAATGCTTGAAATAACATTGGAGCTAACTGCAAGACAGATTATTCTTAAATAATTAAATAAATCTTAATGATAATGAACTTTCAGAATAAGAGCCAGTTCTAAAATACTCTATCAATTCCTTAATTTGATACAGGAGGAATAACTAACCAACCTTAAAATTGATGTCAAACTGCGAGAGATCAGTTCCATTAAGGGATGAACTGAGAATTCTAGCCAAATTTGTTGCAGATGAGTTTATTGGATGTAGTAATTTAGCAGTATTATCAATTTCGGAAAGCAATCCAAGTCGAAAAGTGTGAGCATTATAATCAACCTTGAATTTCATATGTTGAATGGTCTTATACCACCATGTGATTGCTATACTGGGAAGCAGCAGAACTCCAATTGTCTACATGAAAGTTTATAAGCATGATTAAATTTATTAATAAAAGAAGTAATTGTTTCAAATGCAATTAAATATAACAAAAACAATATATATATGAAAGGAAGTGCTCGAAGACACCTCCACCCCCCCCCGCGCCGCCAACACACAAAAAAAAGAAAAAAAAAAAAAAACACTCCATCATAAATCAGACATTTGGATCTATGGATTAGAAGAGTCGTGTGTTAGCTATTCTATATTAAGGCTTCGCGTTGAAACTGCCCGCTTAAGCCTTGCATTAGCCTTCCTGATATTACACCTTCCTCATCACCAACATGGACATCTCAAGAATAGTGGGAAATCATATCCATAGTTAAGATGTTTTTCACTGGTGTCTTTGTTCTGCGAAGTGCTTTTATACCCACAATGTATTTCATGGTACCATTTGACTTGGAAAGAATTTGTGTTAGAATTAGAATACATATGCAAAAATCTGATTCTTATGCGATATATAAGCGATGAAAATGAACCTCTATTACAATTTAGTATGATGATTGACATGTACGTTGTGGAATGTTGGAAATTAATTCTTGAAATTATGTGAAATTGGAGCCTTAGATTGGTGGGCAGATTTATTTCTTTCATAGGATTTTAATATAAATCTTTAATGATAATGTGCTTTATCAGAATGAAGGTGCAGATTTCCTTATAATGAGGTGTGTAAATTGGGTGATCATTTTCTTATTTGATTACAGGATGGAAACTATCGGCAATCTTTATAAAATTGATGTCAAGAACTTGATCGAGAGGATAGTTTCCATGATAAAGGGGTGAACTGGAGAATTCGCTATAGGGACAATTTGTGTGGCCATGATGAGTGTTTATTGGATGTAGGTACAATTTAGCAGTATTACAATTTCGGGGAGAAAGCAATGCCGCAGAGTTCGAAAGTGTGAGGCATTATAGTGCACAAGGGACTTGAGGCTCGGAATTGTCATAAGTGGTTGAATGGTTTATTATCCGACCTGATGATGCAATATGCTATGGGAAGGGTGGGGGAGTCTGGAAGGGAGAAGCGCGGAAGACTCGCACATTGATACTAAATGAAGGAGTGTGTTAATGCATGGAAATTAAAAATTTGGAATTATAAGAAAGAATACGGTACCATTGCTTTTCATCAAAATGCAATACACTATACAAAAACAATATACACCTCATTCAAATGTAATAATAAAAAATTTGCAATATATATATATTATTATATTTGGTATGTAAGTAGTAAGTCTGTGTGTGTGGTGTTGTGATGTTGTTGTGTGGTCTACAGACCCGAATTACCAGAGATGGGCAGGAACGGGCATGAGGCCAAGGTAAAAGCGTTAAGGCACCAAGATTAGGGCCCGTAGTAAGTTCTAAACAATTACACTCGTTCACCAACGGTTAAATCGAAATAGCCTGGGAACAGGTAAAGCCACAATATAAGAACCGTTTACATATGACTCTGTGTGTGTGTGTGTGTGTGTGTGTGTCACGACCCGAAACCATGGGCCGGACCGGCACTAGGGCCAAGGTAAACTTAAGGCCCACCAAGGCCCGTAGTAAGTCTAAACCATACAACTCGTTCACGTTAAACGAATCCTGGGAACAGTAAGCCCATAAGACCTTACATATGACTCTTATAATCGCACCATATCCTGGCTCAATTTCAATATCCCAAATAATTTGTAGCTCAGGCCTATTGTAATATATATCATCCATAATATGAGCTAAGTGGTTCATATATGCACTTATTAAACTAAACCAGTTCATATCCTAACTAGTATGCACTACTAAGCCAAGATTTACATATTTTTACTCATTTCGGCTTAAAAAGCTAAATATAGATATCATGGCTTAGGAAATTCTGACATTAAAATCCTTATCTATTAATAATCTAACTAATAGTTAGCAATTGGTATATAGATAGCTGAAAGTATCCAGTCACGAGTTTACTTCAACTGAAATCACATAAAAACCTTAAAGTGGTAGCTGTCATTCTTTGCCAAAATCTACAATGTGTGCATTTATCAGTTCATTATCTACTAAGAAATAGGTTTGCGGCATCCATTCTACCTAAATTTAGCATAATCGCCTTTACAATCCTTAAACTTCCATAACTTAACAAGGCAAGCAAGTAATTCAAAATCAATTGAGGGAACTTGTAATAAAGGAACGCTAAAATCGATCTTAACTCCCTAACAGTCTAAAGCTGTCGGAAACACGCTTGTTTCCAGAGGATTGCTGGTGATTCTTAACAAAATTGCAAATATAAGCAATCATCTACCTATTTCTATACATATGTCAATTATATTTGTAATAGGAATTCAATTCATATAACAACTAGAAGGTAAGATCAAAATTTCCATCAAGAGTTAGCATATAATATGTATCTCCTACATAACTTATATACAACTCAGATTATAGCTTCCAATGACAATTTTAAGAACTGTCTACGCTAATCTGCAGAAATAGTAGCTAGGAGTTTCAATTTCTACACCAACCCAATTTATGCCTCAAATCCTTCAACTAAAATCAAAGAACTCCTGAAATAAACTTAAGAGGGTCTAAATTTGGCTTACCCAGTTGTAAAATACGCCGGAAATCAAAATTTTCCGGTTAGGAAGATCGGAAAAGCGCTGCTCTCCGCTTAACTCTCTACTTCTCGCTACAGCGCCACAATCAGACCGGAAATGGGAACGGGATCTGTCGGAGAAGGACCGATGACGAGGTGGGGTGCCTAGACCAGCCGGTCCTGGCCGGTCGCGCTGGAAAATCGAGGGACAGGGGGGAGCGAGCTGCGTCAATCGAAATCGCAGCTATTCTATCTCGCTCGCGACGCAATAACAGGAGGCGGAATGGAGAAGCCGGTGGAGCTCTTAGCGAGGAGAGGTGGTCCATTTGGCGGTTAAGGACGGTGAACGGAAAACGCAGGCGGTGGAGGAGCTGTGTCGGCGTAATCGGGAAGGAGAGAATTTTTGGGTTAGGATTGATTGGGTATTTTCCCATATTCTAGGGATTTCTAATTGGTCCTAAGTCGGTTTAGGTTCAATTAGAATCTGGTTTGGCCCAAATCATGAGTTTTAATTGGTTTTCAATTCATTTATGGATTTCTAATGGGTTTAACATAGTTTTAGGTTTGGTTTAACTATATAAAATATATTTACATTAGATTTTGTTAAATAAATTCATATGGTGTGACGTCCGTTAATTTTAAATATAATAATGATCTATAATATCATTGATTTAGAATTAATAATTAAATTTTAAATTAAAAATTTTTGAAAAAAATTTTCAGGCCATTTCAACGTATATAGACAAAAACAACTTTTAAGTAGTGGTACTCACCATCATTGATTTAGAATTAATAATTAAATTTTAAATTAAAAATTTTTGAAAAAAATTTTCAGGCCATTTCAACGTATATAGACAAAAACAACTTTTAAGTAGTGGTACTCACCAGAAGGATGAAGATGAAAAGAGGCCGCCAGGCTACGACTGAGCTGAGCGTCATTGAATCTTTGAGTTGGAAACAAATAAATTAAGATTAATATATCTTCCTCTTTTTTTGCTTTTAAAGGAAAGTATTTCTTTGAAGATATGATATTAAATTTTACGAGAAAATTATTTAAATTGTGTTTCTATATAGGAAAGTCAAATCGAATTGCGATTTTTATCTTACAATTTTATTTAGAAAACTCACATATATAGAATATTTTATAAATTGGAGATTCTTTTGGAGATTTTGCATGTCTTTTTTTGATTTATTTGTATTGCATAATGGAATATATATCTTGATGATGTTCATGCAAATATTATTATCGTGATATTTTTATATTTAGAAATCAATATTTAAGAAAGAAAATTAATAATTAAGCAAAATTAAAACGGGTTTAGTGACAGTTGAGAATTGGATTCAAATTCCTAGCAAATCTCAAGAATTACACTGTCGGTGGGATCTTTTTCTCTTATATGGTCTGCTACCAACTCTACATTGTAACATGATTTTAATTAATTCTTCCTTTCAAAAAAAAAAAAATAATGATTTTAATTAATTGTATCTTATGTCTCTTCTTATCTTAAATACTTTGAAGCTTTATGTTTATGATAAAATAATTATATAGTTAGACATTGAACACACGTTGATAACTTTTGGGAAAAAAAAATTATTTATTTTCAATCAATCAACGATGAATTTTTTAATTTAATATTTATAAAATATTATATATATTTGACCTCTCTAAATAAAATTTTAAGATACAAATGGCAATTAGATTTGGCTTTCCTATATAGAAACACAATTTAAATAAAACACAATAAAATAATATTAATATATATATATATATATATATATATTAAATATACTAGTATTTCTATGACGTATGTTTGTCAAGTTGACTACAATGCTCGTTATATTCTTCATTTTGTACCTATACTTTTTAATCTATATATATACTAGTATTTTCTATGACGTATGTTGCAAGTTGACACAATGCTCGTTATATTTTCATTTTTGTACTCTTATAATTTTTTATCTATAAAATATTAAAATATAAGTTTTCATTTAAATTAAAATAAATACAATTGATTAATTTGTTTAGACTTTACCATATAGGCTACTTGCAATACTATTTCTTATGTATTTGATTTTATTTTTATAAAATGAAGTGGTCATAAAATAAAGTTTAATCTAATTTCTATACATAATTCTCTGGTCCCTAATTTATAAATGCAGATTCTTAAACTTGATAGGTGTCCAAAAAGAAAATTAAGTTATCACTTAATTCCCAACCCCTTGCCCTCAATCTCAAATCAATATCTATATACAGCTATAATGAGAAAAAGAGAAAAAAATGAGAAAATGATTTGAATTGATAATGTTAATTATTTTGGCTATAGTAATAGTATTACTTATCCATTGCATTAGAGAAAGGAATATATGAACATACACACAAATTTTTGAAACCCAAAAAATGATCCAAAACAGAAATATATAGTTCTAATTTTTTCAATTTCATAAACATTATTTTCTTCCAAGTCAAACAGATTTAGGATATAAAAAGAAAAAATATCAAAAAAATAAAAAATGCTTAATCAGGAGATCATCTGTTTATTGCAGGGGAGATATATAAATCTCTTAATAAATTAAAGTGATAGAGGTTATAAATTAATTCACTAATGAAAAAAATTAAAACAAAATTATTATTAAAAATAAAATTCCTTTAAGAACTCAACATATAACAAGAAATAAATTATATTAAAAAAATTACCAATTTAAATTTGAAAAATCAAAAAAACGCTATAATTTAATGAAATTTGATGTTAATTGATCAAAATAAATAAATAAAGTCAAGTTAATAAATGAAAATTACAAAGCAAAATATGCTAAGATCTAGTATTGGTCAGTTAATGAATTGTTTCAAGTATTTTATTTTTCTATTGTTCTAAGTTGAAAATTTAAAATAAATAAATAAGTTAATTAAGTAATAAAAAAAAAGATTACATAAAAGAAACGTTATATGCTCTCTAAATAAACCCTCAATTTTCTCTATAACCATATATAAACAAAAATAATATATTTGATCTTTTTATCTCTCTCCTAAATAAAATATTATTTATATTTATTTTTTAGAAAATACATCCAATCAAATCACATATATAAACATAAAAAAGTGTGTATATATATATATATTTTTATCTCCTCCTAAATAAAATTAAATTATAATCAATTAAGAATCGAATATTTAAAAAATAAAATATAAAAATTTTTAAATCTCATATATATATATATCAAAAAATAAATTTAAAAAAAAATAAAATTTTGAAATATTGAATTATTTATATGTATTTATATGAAAATAATTTCTATAAATTATATCCAATCAATTAATAAAATATAATTTTTTAATTGAGTACGCCTGCGATTATGTTAGGTTTTTCTAAATTTCATAGATAGATAAACTATCTATAGATATAGAAAATATTTTATTGAATTTTATTTTCTATTTTATATCAAATGATAAATTTTATATGTATCCTCAATAAATAATAATAAATTACCTTTGTTTATCAACCACTATTATTAAAATCTTAAAGATATTATATTCTTTTACCACATTTAATAGATACCTTATTTAAGCAAATTACTTTTATTTTTATAACTGATATTATTAAAAATATTATATTCTTTTACCACATTCAATAGATACCTTATTTAGTATATAATATAGTTTTTTAGTTTATCCAATACAATTTGGATTTGAATAGTAATTTTTTGGAATAGAAAATCTTCATTTGGAATTTTTTGATGTTGCCCCCCTAATAATGGATACGTATTATATTTTTGTTCTTTTTTTTTAAAATATACATTAAAATAGGAGAGAATTATTATTTCATCCTTCTATTTTGTTAAAATTATTCAAACAAAAAATTAGGACCATATAATTAGGAACAAAAAAGTAATTAGGACCATATAAATTTTTTAATACTTTATTAATAACATTTAATAACATAATATTATGACTTGTTTTTCAACATCATTAAAGGACTTAAATTTAATAGCAAAATTTTTGTTAAATTTTATAGTTATTTATTAGTTAAACAAATAAAATATTATAAATCCACATAATAGCATAAACATCAAAAGAAAAAAAAAAAGATGAAAATAGTAGTATACAAATTTTTCGATTAAGATTTTACATAACATATAATATTGGTGTTATATTTTTAAGGTAACATACTAAATTATATATAATATATTTTAAAATTTTTTCACATTACACAACTGAATTTTTTTAATAAAATTATTTATGTATACAATATACCTTTTTTCTTTTTTTTTTTTATCTCATTCCTAAATAAAATAATTTAAATTATAATCAAAATAGAATCCAATATTTAGTAAATGAAATATAAAAACTTTCAAATATCTCATTATTATATATATTTATTACAAAATAAATTTAGAAAAGAAAAAACTTAAAATTTTGAAATGCTTAAATATCTATATATATTTATTAACCAATTTTTATAAATATATTCAATCAACTAATAAAATAAAATAATCTAATTGGTTATGATTGTGGTTATTTTAGAATATTTTAAATTTTATCAAGGACAATATCAAAAATCTCATTATTTTTTCTATTGCCACATTTATATATAGTATAGTAAATAGATAAATATAAAAGTACAGATATAATAGTTTTTTATGAAGTGCCTTGCACTTTTTCATTGTTTATTTTATACTCGTTATTTTTTATACAATAATAAGTATTGATTATAATTTTCTTCGGTTTGGTCTGGTTTTCAGTTAGTAATGGCATATTTGCTGACGGCTATAAGCATATCTGAAATATTATCCATTAATGAAAGCGTAATTTTGCTTAAAGAATAAAGTTTGGCATTAATGCTTCCTGCTCTAGAAATAACACCACTCTTACTGTATTATTTATTATTTCTTATTTATTTTTCTAGATTGTTATCTTTCTTTCTTATTTCTATTTCTCTCTATTTTTTTCATTTTATGTTCGAATAATAAATAAAAAGGAATTTTTTAGACTTCCTTTTTAGAAGGGAGGTACAAAATAATATTTTTTTTTTTTTAAAATACAGATGAAATAAATAGATATTTATATTTGAAAATCATTTATTCGGTAAAATGGTCCAATTTAATTTTTCGGCAAAATAATCTTGATAAATGCACTTCATCATAAATCTTTTAGTAGTTTAGACATTTAACAAATTTTTTCCGCTCAAACACAAAACAGAAAAAGTACATAAGCTAGAATAATACCATGTTTCTGAAAATCGCACCGGACCGACAGGTTCAACCGGTTTAACCGGAATCGCACAGTGTTCCAGTCCGGATAACATAAAAAACCAGGAGCTTAAAAACTGATATAAACCAATAAGAACCGGATGAAAACCGGCCAAAAATCAGTCAATTGGACGGTTAAAAATCGGTTTGATTTAAATTATGGGTTTTATCTCTAATTGTAGGCCTTTT